TTTCCCAACACCAATAAAGGCTCTTTTTCCCTTCCTGCATCAGTGGTGTGTGCCACTTCCTGCAAGGAAACCACTCTGCAGACCCGGCCAGAGGGAAAATTACTGGGCCACAGAATGGGAGGAGGCGTAACTCAGCCCAGTTCTTGGAGCCCTAGGAAAAGAAACTTCCCTCCGTGCATGAAAGAGGGCGATTGTGCTGGGGACCACTCATCCGGTGCCAGCAGTTCCGTCAGCCTCTATTCAGGGTTGTACCAGTGCCACAGCAAGGTGACCTGGGGTTTGGGGCTGAGGTCAGGGAAAGGTCACTGCCTGAAAAATGAAACAAGTCAAAGGAAAAGAATCTTAGGAATGGTGAGGTTATTCACCCACAAAAGTCATGCAATCTACAAAATGATACAGAAAAGAATTTTAAAGTGGAATGCAAAGTTCAAAGTTGCTCAAACAATCCTGCAAGCTGGTGCCAGGATGCCCCAAAGCATGGTTGTAGGACCCAGCATGTTGGCATTCAATGCCTGTAACTTTCTTTATTTCTGGCTTTTAGTTCCCTTGATTCCCTCCTCTCCCTCTTTCCCTCCTTTCCACAGCCACTCCAACTTCAAAACCAAGGGAGAGGTACTAAGTGCAAAGATATTACCCTGCTATTTTTTTTTAATAATCTCTCTATTTATTCATTTTGTTAGTACGTTTGTAGTACTTACATTCCTTGTGGAGAGTTATCACATGAAGAAAACACATCTTAATTCTTGTTGCATCCCTTTCTCCTTCTCAGCTTATGCCCCTCTTACATCTCTCGGTCCCTTTCCTTTTAAAAAAAAAAGTTATATCTCCCTCTGTCCTACCGGCTTTTATTGTGCTCTTTAATTTACTCATACTTTGGGTTTCTCGTATAAGGAGAAGCCGTGCAATATTTAAGCTCATGTGTCTGACTTGTTTCCCTCGACATTATGGTCTCAAGGTGCATCCATTTTCCTACAAATGACTCGAGTCTGTCCTTTTTTATGGCACAGTAGTACTCATTGTGCATAAATGCCATGCTTGCTTTACTCATTCATTAAACACGCTCTGAGCTGGCTGGTCAGCTTTCCCTTCTTAACAACTTCCTGGTGTCTCCCTAGAAAGTCAGCATGTCAGACACACACCACAGTGGTGTCATTAGATGGTTTTGTACCTCACAAGTGCCTATCTTAAACCCTTTCAAGGTTAAAAGCACCTTCATGCCTGGGTATTTATTTGCTCCTTCATAATTTTGCCCACCTCATGTACATGGGTTGTACATGGATGTTCACAGGGTGGATTCCTATTACAAAGACGGCTCATAGGAGGAACAAATAGAGATGCAGTTACCTATCGTTACCTTTCAAAAATACTAAGTGGTATTTCCTTCCCTGAATGGGAAAAATAAAAGCACTTTATAAATAAATCAACATATAAAATTGTCTCACACGAAAGGTGTGAAAAGCCTAGATATTATTTGAAGAGGAAATTCATATTTCCAATAGGTGACCAGAAGCTGGTATAAGTCAAGTGTTCACTATTAATCTGACTTCTTTTTCCCAGACACAGAAACATCACAGAATTAGAAAGTATTCAATTACTTCTTTTCAGTGAGTAGAAAGATGGAAACAGAGTTTCAAAGTTTTGTTTTATCCTTTTGTCAAGAATTCATACAAAGAAGTCAATTTTATACAAAATAATTTTATAAAATTACTTTTAAGAGAGACAGTTTCTATAGATCAATTTGAGTAGGTCATACAATGTAAGTCTTTTAATATGAGCTCCTTAGTTTTATTAGTGCATTATAAATTATTTATCTTACCAAAAATACATTAAAACCAGAATTAGAATGTCTTTGGTTTCTATAGCTCACAGTATTAAGTGAAAGTAATACAGTGCATGTTATACAGACAGAAATGTAAATGTGGCCTAAACCAATATTCCTGAGTCAGTTTCACATTAGAACAGAAAAGTCAACTTATCTTAAAATAAAGCAAGTCACTACATCACTCTGCTACAAGCAAGTGTTTCTTTGTAAATAAGGATGAACTGACAATGCTTGAAAGCGTAGTTCATCAAAATCACAACAAGAAACCAAATATTATGAACGTGTAAAATTCCATGTTTATTTAATATCCATTACAGAGCGGGTTCATTGAAACCAGACTTTGTAAAGACAAATAACATTTCTGAGGAACATAAACAATTTCATACAGTTGAATTCCATCCCGCGATTTCACATGAATAAAGATGTCATTATGCAAGAGTTTCAGCAATAAAGGCCTTGCCTGGAGTCCTTGCGGCCTCTCCTGGGCACGCAGCTGGGCTTCCATCCACTTCCTCGCCTTCTCAGCTCTGTCCCTGTCAGCTGAGGAGTCTCCCGGGGCCTGCCTTGTGGGGTCGGTGCCACCCACACCTTCTCGGAGCTCGAGGTGCGGATTCCTTGGACAAACGCTGTGCTTGAAAAGTTAAAGGCAATTTTACAGGTGATGTCAAAGGGCTCACTCTCCTTAGTCAAGAAGCAGGAGCTGTGCAAAACGTCAGTGAGACGTGGGTACTTCCGTGGTTGCCCATATGAATTAAAGCCTGATATGCACCAGGCATTGTGTTGAGCACTTTCTACTCCCTAGCACACAAAATGAACACATGAAACTTTATAAAGTGAGTAGCATAATTACCTCAGCTCCAGAAATCAAGAATGCGCTGTCACGGGCATGAGCGACAGAAATAGAAGGCGCACTGTGTCATCAAACCCAGCCTTGGGGGTGACCAGTGGCGTCCTGTGGTCAACATTGCAGGGGTTTGGTGGTTTTCCCAAACCCATTCTCAGCGCTTTTCTGCCTTGGTTTTCTCTCTTATAGAGACTGGAAAAGGAGCGCTGTTGGTACTCTTAAAGGGCGTCTTTCTTTTTGAGGACTTTTGTTTCTCAAACAAAATCTTTTCTAAATTTTATACATGTTTGCAATGCATAACGTTCCCACTCCTCGTGTGGAGTTGGCACAAGCACAGCACACATCTTCATTAGTGTTTACCGCCCTGGCCCTCCGCTCCCTCCCCTCCTGCCCATCTCTTGATCCCCTTCCCATTTGAGAAAGATCTGTCTCCTACTTCTGGTCCTCTATATTTTATTTTGCCCTTTGCTCATATTTTGGGTTTCTCATATAAGAGAAACTATGTGATGTTTAAGCCCGTGCATCTGATTTATTTCATTTAACATTGTGATCTCAAGGTGCATCCGTTTTCCTACAATGACTCCACTCTGTCTTTACGGCAGGGTAGTACTCCAGGGTGTGTAAACACGTTTTCTTATCCATTCATCTGTTGACAGACATACGGGCCAATTCCAAGGTTCAGCTATTATAAGTTCTGCTGCTATAAACATGTGCATATATCTCTGTAACATGATGACTTTAACTCTTTCAGGAAGATACTTGGAGAATAGCTTGGTCAAATGGAGTTTCTAGTTTCAGATTTTTTAGGAATCTCTATGCTGATTCCCAAAGTGGTTGCGTTAGTTTACATTCCAGTCAGCAATATAGCTTCCTTTCCTCCCACTGCCACCCCGCCCCAAATTTGTCATTGTCTGATTTCTTAATGGTAGCCTTTCTTTCTGGGGTAGGATGGAATCTCAGGACTATTTTACTTTGCATGTCTTTAATGGCCAGAGATGAATAGAGGGGGGAGAAAGTTAATTTTAAAAGGAATTAAGATCTATTGTGTACATGTGCCAATTCCCCACAGATAACATAAACATTATATACCACAAATGTGCACTAATTTTAAAAAAAGAATGCACCCATAGGTGCTTACTGTGATATTCATGTGTCCTGTACCACGTGTTTGAACTGAAAACAATATTCCCAAAATTGATTTCTCATTCAGTAAAAGTCTGCAGTGTAACAAAAAAAAATATTTATTAGTATATGCGTGGAATACTTAGTGATTACATTCGGCATGGAGGACTGATATTTATACACGTAGAATTTTGATCATTTTCAGTCCTCCTGCCCACATTCCACTTTCCCTCGTCCCTCCTTCCCCCAGTCCTTTTTCCACCTCTGCAGAGTGTACCTCCATTTCTCAACATATTTTTATATTGCTCTTTGTTTATTTTTTGAGTCCCTTGTAGTACAGAAACCATGTCATATTTAACGTTCTGTGATTAACTTGTTTCACTTAGTGCGGTAGTCTCAAGAGCCGTCTATTTTCCTACAAATGACTCAAGCACATCCTTCTTCATGGCAGAGTAGTATTCCATCGTATATACAAACAGCACTTTCTTTCTCCATTCATCTGCTGATGTCCACATAGGACATTTCCATGTTAAACTACTGTAAGTTGTGCTGCCATAGACATAGGTGCACATACATCACTGTAATATGAAGATGTTATCTCTTTCAGGAAGACTCCTAAAAGGGGTCAATTTCTGTACTTCTTTTTCTTCTAGTTTTCTTCTAATGTAGTTTTCTTCTCGTTTCTTCATCAAACACAGTGCAACTTTCTTTTCTCCTAAGAGTGGCCACGAGATGGGTCATGAGCAGCAACTGGTAAGTTGCTATTTGGGGCATCCAAGAGGCTTTTTAGAGAAGACAGACTCGTGATCTCTTCACACATCCTCTTATCCATTCTGGATTGCCCATTCTCAGACTTCTTGAGTCTTGAAAAAAATTTTTTCAGCTAGGCCATGTGCCTTAGGTACTTTTTTCTCATTGCTAAGACAAATACCTGACATCCAAAGTTACAGAAAGGAAGAAAGGTTTATTCGGCTCACAGTTTGTAGAGGTTTCAGTCCATAATTGGCTGGCTCCAAGGTAGGGTGGCACAGCAGAGGAGAAACAGATCATGATGGGCAGAAGGCAGCAAAGCAACCAGGGATAACTACAGCTCTTTTGTCCATTATATCTTATCCAGTCTACATAGAGTGGCAACACTCACACCCTTAATTCTAGTGCCCTTGAGCCTAGTATTGCACTATGAATAAGCCCCAGCATCACACATTCCAGCCACCTCTGAAAAAGCCACATCTATGACTGCATGAGGCTTTGGGGGACGTCTAGACACAGCCATAACAACATGTTAATTTGGTTTTGTGCTACTTGCAACTGATTGCATGGACTATCTAAAGCTACTTTATAAAGTTTCATGACTATTCAAGAGGTGAAAAAAGTGATCACTAATATTCATCATGTAAAAGGATAAATGAATTGTATTATCTTAAATGTGGCATATTCTGTACCATGTTTTTGCCATCAAATTAATGTCAAATAAATTGTGCTATATTTGGTACTAAACACTGGCCCATCTCAAATATCAGCTCTACTCCTTGCTAAACTCATGCAGAGAAAATAGTCAGATAATCCCTCCGGGCTCTGTGCCTAGGGAGAAAAGCTATGGCCTTGAACAGAGGGTTCCACAGTCTAGAACTGAATTGAAAGCCCAACAAAGAAGGAAGAAATCTGAGAGAGAAAATAAAAATTTCTGAAGAAAATGAGATACTCAAAACATTTTATGATTTTTCTCTTAAGCAGAACAAAATCTACTTTCTAACCATCCCATTGTTCATGACTGAAATCCCACTTCCAGCACTTTTTGGGTGTGGGATCTTAGATAAAGTTGTTTCATCTCCTGAGATTACCAAGTTTTTTCCAACCATAAAAATCAACATCTTACAAGTCATCTGATGGTGTTAGGTTTAACTAAAACAGCAGAGTCAAATTGCCTAGTTCTGTGCTCGACACCAAAGATACATTTATCAGAGGTCAGTCCCCCTGCCCTTTGACAAAATGATGTTAAAGACGTCTGTCTAGAGGACAGATGCAGAGTTCTTGCACAAGTTATGTGTAGTCTTGGAAAACTTGGCTCATAGAAGTAGAGTCGAGTAGTGGTTGCCAGAAGCCAGAAAGTGTAGGGGAGAGAGTGGCTGGAGAGAAACTGGTTAATGACTACACAGTCACAGGAGAAGTGAGTTCTGGTGTTCTGTTACAATATTGTATCACATAATTCAAAATAGCTAGAGGAGAGGATTTTGAATGTTCCCATTACAAAGGACTTAGTGTTTAAAATGATAGCTAGCTAACCTAAGTATTGCCAGTTGATCAATACACAAAGTATAAATGTATCAAAATATTACAGTCTACCTCATAAAATGTGAAATTATCATCTGTCAACTTAAAAAAAGGCTCCCATATGATCTCAAAAATATTTTTCATTTGCTTCACTATATAAAGCACTGTCACTATATAAAGACATCACTTGGTTGGACACAGTTATTAGTGAAAGCAATGATTCCTATTAGGGTCTAAGTTTCCTGAAGACAGTAATCATGATTTATAACTTTGAACAGAATAGGGTTTTTGAGCCAGGTAACTTTCTATTGATCTAATGATTTATCATTCCAAATGACTTATGTCTTTCAAGGTGCAGCCTTGTTAGCTTTCATCATCATTCTTACATATCAGGCTCACAGGTTAACAAAACAATTGTGAACAGAGACAAACCCATACTGTGAGCTCTAACATGAAAGTGTACCACACCCCCCAATACTTTATCAATTGCTGTTTACTGTAAACTCTTCAATATCCTAAATACCTCCATACATTGCCATGAATTCTCTCTTCAACCCTATAAAGTGGGTGTGTCCAGTGCAGTACAGAAGGGAAAATCACAGGTCAGAGACTTGACATGCACAGATACTATCCAGGATGCCTTCACCAAAGCTTGAATCCAGACTTCTTATAGTCCAGTGTCTGAGCTCTTTGTGTTCCACATCCTGAGACTCAGAAGAAACGCAGATTCTGGATTTCTGGGGGGTAAAAGGGAAAAGTGAAGAGAATCATCTATATAGTTTGGTAGAAGTTTGGGCACCTTAATAATTCATAGCCATAATATAAAAATTTCTTGCTGATGAAAGTAGACAATAATAATGCCAGACGTTAATAAGAAACCCACAAAAGATTTGTTTAATCTTCACAACATTCCTTTAAACTAGCTATCATTACCTCCGCTTAGGAACAGATGTTGAAATGCAGAGAGGTAAATTATTTTTCCAAGTAACACCCTTGACCCACACCCTAGCCTCAGAGCTCTTCCTGCCACACCATCGGGCTCCATTTGCCATGTTGTTTTGCCTGTATGTCAACGAAAAAAGGTGAAGGAGAAAGGTGAAGGTGTGGACTAACCATCCTCTTTAGCCTAACTGCTTTCTGCTGAACAAGGATTTCTTTTTCTTTTCAAACAGGGCATCTTGTGAGACATCACTCTAATAAAGTGCACATTCAATGAAGCTAGTCTTCCTCTCAGTGAGCATGCTTGGGGCAAGAATCAGAGTGCTTTTCTAAAGCTCTTTTGTTCACACTTGGTTTTAAGCATATCTTTCTCTCCTCTTTAATGTCTGTTTTTAAGAGAGCAGTAAGGGATCACTGTAAGGACTAGAAGCGATCTGGAACATTTAACAGGTACCAGAACTTACATCCAGGTCACCAGTTCAGACCCAAAGAGATCTGGTTTTTCTCTTCTGCTGACCTGTAATTTCAAGCAGCAAGACCAAACCAATATCTTTAAGCTGCCATATTCCACCATAAAACCATTTCCCACCTCGATTTACAGGAATCACCTAAGATTGTTGACATGGAAAACTCGCAGGTTGGTAGCCATCACTGACTCCCGTGACACACATGCTTAGGAGCAGGAGAGCTGGATATACACAAACAGGTGAGGTGGGATAGTAGTGCACACTCCCTAATAACTTTTCCCAAGTCTATCAAAGGTGGGACAAGGGCAGGTAGCAGAAAGAACAGCAAAATACGTGAGATGGTTATACAAGTGTGGCTTCAATTGGAAAGGACAGAAAGAATGACCAAATGGGGCATTAGCTAATCATGGGACAAAAAAGTCAAATGCCACATGTGTAAACTCTGGAGATCAGAGAATCCCAGTTATGAAGTTGCAGGTTAAAGCAGACAGCCATTAATCTAGCACTCCGTTATCTTTGCTTGCTTTCTGATTAAGTGTCTTAAGCAGTGTCTTTAGACATTGTTAAGGGAAGATGACTAAACCAGGGACACTCAACAATATCCACAGATGTATTCTGGTTCCTGGAGCAGATGCAAATGCACCAGTGTCCCTCCCGGCTCAATGTCCTTGAAAAGGCTTCCTTCTTTTTGCATCACATACTGATTACTTCATTCCTTCTTGGACCTGTGTTTCCTATTGTGAAAGAATAAATGCTGTAGTATCACTGTTCTCTCTAAAAAATAGTGATTTGGGTAAGCCTCACTATAGACTTCTGGGATGCCGTCTATCATCCCATTTCACAAATGAGAAAACTACCACAGGAAGACCTAGTAACTTTCCCAAGGTTGTGTACTTAGTGAAGTTGGAGTACACACTCAAGCATTCTTCTTTAAGACTTGTCTCCCAGCAACCACACAATAATTCTTGCTTATTTAATGCAGTTAAAATAGTTTAGTTTTCTAAAAGTATAAATGCCATACAAAGCTATAGTTATACCTGCAAGTATTTGGTAAGACCATAGCTGATCCCCATAAAAGCTAAAATTGTTTGAGATAACAAAACTAGTTTAAGTCCTAAACCACTTAGATATGAGATTATGCTTTCTAGAAATAGAAGGTGATATTCTTTTCCCTAGATCATGACGGTTATTATAGAAATATAGACATTTTATGAAGAACTTAGGAAATGTAATACTTTGCTTGGTTTTGTTTTAAAAGCGAAGCTAGAGTTAAACGGAGTATCTCTTTGAGGTATGTTTAGTTTATAAACAACAAAAGACTAATATTCCTCCCTCCATTTCTAGGCACTGCAAATAGCATTTCTATTAATGAAAATGCTAGTTCAGTCTGTGGCATTTTGAAGTGGAAAGCAGAGGCTGTACTTTGGGGCTGAACATAAACATAATTGGAAAAGGTGACGATGAACTAAACCATATTTACACAAGCATTTGAAATAATGGCTCGTGAGCGCTGTAGAATATGTTCCCCCTGTAAGTGGAATCTTGCACAGTACCCGATTGGTTCATTTCTTGGTGTCTTGCTCATGCTGTAACTCTCCTGGCTAGGTAGGAAATCTAGTCCGTATCCCCACCATTTCTCAAGTCAATTTCACTTCTCCAGCTGGATGCTCATGCGAAATAAAATCTAAAGATTTCTCAATTTGTTTCATTATATTTTGAAATCAGAATGTCAACCACTGGCAATTAGAATAACAAACTTCACAACAGAGCAGAAAATGCATGTGTGGTGGGGGTGGATCATGTGTCTGCCCGGCCCAGCCAGAATCCATTCGCAGAGGTGATAAAAGTTTTGGCATCAAATTTGCTAAATATGCTCTCTGGAGAAAAAAAAGAAAGAAAGAAAATTGGAAATGAAGTGGACTTTCCTTCTACTGCATATTTATTTACCAGTCAGTCATAGAAAACCCAAATTCATTTCAGGCTTCTTGAAAAGTAATCGCAAAAAATGATTTAACATCTCTTCTAAAGTGTGTGCATATGGCTAGAATGCTGAATATCACCTGTGGGGCAGGGGAAAAAAGCAACTTTCTACACTTTTCAGGGGGGGGAAAGCCCATTTGGACTGAACTAGTTTGCTCAGGCCACCGTAACAAAACACTACAGACGGGGTGGCTTTGGCAGCAGCATTCGCTTTCGCAGTCTTGGAGGCCAGAAACCTTACTGAGAATAACAGATGATTTGGTTTCTGCTGAGCCTCCCTTGCTGGGTTGAAGACTGCCAACTTCTTGCCACTTCCTTACATGGCCTTTCTTCAGCATGTGATTGTGGAAGGAGAAAGAGATCTTTCTTCCACAAGGACGCTCTTCCCATTATGAGGACTTCACCTTAAAGCCCTACTTCCCTCCCCATGGCTTCCACCCATTAAACCATCACACGGGAGTTAGGGCGTTGAAACATGAGTTTGAGCGAGGGCACGAAGATGCTGTGCACAGCACTGACAAAAACTATTTTGCAGGCAAGCCAGGGGATGCACTGCAAACATATTAGCCTGTGACTTTTCTAAAAGCTTTCTTACAGTTTCATGCTTCAAGTTCCATCTCTGGCCTTAGGAAAAACATAAGCTCTTCACCAATATATTCCAGATATAAAAGAAAACACCAGCATGAAGAACAGTAGAGAAGTGGTCTAAGTATTATCCAGAAACTCCTGGCATGTACAGTCTGTGAACAGGTTCTGCACTGTATAAAATTATCAGTTATCAGTGGCAATATCCATTCTCCCTGCTCTGGAATGCGATAATCATTTTCTTACTAAATTAAATATGCCCATCCAAAAGAGAACTAGTTGTGATGAATTACTTTGATGGGTAGTTTCCTGGAGGAAGAAGTGTAGGCTATGGGTTCTTTGACTTTGCCCAACAGGGCAGAAGATTGAAGTACTTTTCTAGTCACATTCTTGATCAGTTATTTCCATGACATCCTGGCATTTCCAGACCACACCATGTGATGACTAAACTGGACCTGTATTTTAGAAGAAAAAAAAAAAAACTTGCACAGCTAAATGAGATAGGTTTCAAATGACTAGGTAGGGTGAAATTCCCACTGGACTGACTTCTCTGGAACTTGAGACTTAACTATCCCCATTACTACAGTGACACCTGAAAGTTAGCGTTGCGTGTAACGTCCTCAGACTGCCTTCGGGCACATTAAGATACTCACTCCTTACCCTCCCAAATAAGAGCATCCAAAGGCAGGGATTAATTTCTCTGTTCCTCTCTCCCACCCTCCTCTTGCTTCTCTTTCAGCCCCACCCCAGCACCTAAGAGCTTCTTCTGTGGATGTCAGAATGAGTGGATGGATGAACCGAAAATGGACACTCTGCTGGACAGTGATTCTTCATAACATACACGTAAAATTACTACCATAAACCAAGTAAAAAGGGACAATTCTACTGCTATTTAAAATTGTACAGACATTTCATGCCACGCCAAAATGTCTCCTGATATTTCTGAGAGAACTTCGACACCTTGCATGATCATTTGAAAAGAACACTGATCTCTACATTTATATCCTCCCATCTCTGCCTCTTTGTGAGTTGAGAAACCCATTCGGAATCCCCTGGTTTAGACCCACTATCCTTGGGTTTACTGAATGATTTCATAAAGCGTTATAATAGATAAACTCTAGAATGCTTAAGCACCTTACAACATGTTCTTTCATGAATTATGTATTTTGGGACAAAATGACCAGGTCACAGAATGTGAGCTCGTTTCCCTGCTGACAATTCTGTGACCCACCTGAGATCTAGGAGGAGGAACATGGTGAAAAGATTATTTAAGTGATCACTAAAGCAATTAATCAGTGCATCAGTTTAAAATATCACTGCCATAACAAACTAGACTTCTTAAAGGACTTCAGGAGAGAAAATTCTTTTACATGAGCTTGATTTCAAATTTATGTTTTTGTAGCACTCAAAGATAATTGTCATTCATCTTCAAGCAGTTTGAGATATTGTTTCCTAAGCTTAGAAACCTCCAACTTTCATACTTTTGTACTTCTGTATAATTAATAATATGATAAAAAATTAGAATGAATGTTTAAATTTTAATAAATTATTATAGTAAAAAAAGCATTGCACTCAGCCCACTCAAAATTATCAACCCTCTCTAACCTTACTCTCAGCCCTTTCTAAAGGTGTTCTGCAAGTCCTCTTTCATGAGTGTCTTTAGTAGGGCTGTCATGGCTGCCTGTACACCTTGCATCCAGTCAAACACTTGCCTCTCAGGATCACTGTAACTTTGGGAAGAAGCCAGAAGTTGCACGGAGTCAGTT